GGGCAGGGGGAAGCACCCCTCATTCCTTCTGCTTGCCACTTGGCTCTCCACAAACAAGCATCCAGTAGTAGCTCTAAAACCAGAAAATTTAAGGAGATGCTGAGTCAGATAGGCAATACATTAGCATGTTGACTGACTGCTGGTTCATGATTATACAGAGTTGTCATGCTATGCAGTGCCTTTAAAGTGTTATTTGTTTCCCTAAATAAGGTTGGATTAAAAGAAGGCACTACACATAGAACAGAAGTTGCAGACCCTGGAGTACTGAAGCAAGCGACATACATAAACCGGGGACACGTATCAAGCCCTCAGAGCCTGCAAGACAGTTAAATGTAAGCAGGTAGTCAGGTGCTTGTGTGTGCAGCTCAGTGTTTTCACTGGTTTACAGACTGGTTTAAGCCAAGTATTATTAAAAACCCTATAGGTGCTAAGGTAGGTATTTAATAAAAAGGTTTATCTGTAAACAAGAGTTATCCTTACAACGGATCATTTTCCAGAAATTGGAATTTCAAGACAGTGCAACAATGCTTCAGTGTTTTCTTTGGCAGTAGACAGCAAGGTGAATTGTAAAATTCAAATCACTTCAGAAGAGCACGGTACAAGGTTAGAGAATGCTTCATCTCCCTCTCTTGTTCCATGCAGAATATCAAGTCCCTGAGACAGACGCGGGTTATCCTTGGACAAAGCAGCTGTTTTGTAAGGCTAAAACTTGATGATCCAGGAGAAATTCCATTGCCATTCAAACCCTAAGTGGGGGAGAGAGAGAGGAAAAAAATATTAGAAATCCATGTAAATACAAGTTTTTATCCCAACTGGTTGCAGTATACCACCTACTTGCATAAAACTAGCCTGCTGACATTCAGCTTTACATGTTAAAACCCAGCAATCCAGAAGTCCTTGCACGTTAGATACTTTAAAAGACAAAGCAAGCACTTGCCAGTTGATGATTTATTTCAGTCAAAGCAACCGGAGAATTCTATCTTTCTTTAAAACTGTATTAGTATGGCAAGATAAATAACTGCAGCTTCACTGAAGTCATACTACATAGACCCTTGCACTAAGAAAGCACAAGCTGACTACAAAGAGCGTACTACCACAGTTCCTGTGCAGAGCCCCAGGTTGTGCACAGCTCTTACTCCCACTTGCAAACCCGCAAGCTCCAGATGTTCACATCTCTTCTTGAACAAAACCATCACTGCAAGTGGGCTCTTGCCTTGAAACACAGCTGGGAGAAACTCTTACCCTGGCCATCACCTGTGAATTGTCCTTTTAAGGGAGCAACAAACACACGCAGACGAAGCATCTGCGTGTTCAGAACACTGTGTCTGAGCCTATCCACCTCACTCGGCTGCCTCGCTTAGTTATGAAAGCACAAGTGGAAGGAGACGATGATGTTTAGTAGTTGTACGTTCAGGCTACTGGAATGAGCAACCCCCACGCATTCCAAAATGCCCCAAGATTTATTATTAGGGGCGGGGTGGAGGAAGATTACTATGAGCTGCACAATAGACCGGCTACTTATCTTGGAGCCAATCTATGTTACACAGCCGGTCTCTTATCACTACTGGAGGGTTCTTGGTAATGAATGCAATTTGTACAAATACGAGTGCTCAGTCTCTGTAACTTCAGCAAGGCAATGCCTGCCAGCATCAACACCACTTGGAGATGGCGTTGCTTGGATGCTGTGTTAACTATATCAATTCTTACCCTAACACTCTCTGCAAGACTTCAGCAAAATGACTTTGCCCACTTTGCTTAGAGAAATCTGGTTAAAAACTCCATATATTAGAAACAAATACCAGTGCTGGACTATCTATAGCAGTGAATACTACTGTTGTTAGGGGGGAAGCATTGATATTTCTTTAAAAAAAAAAATACAGAGATTCACCAGAGAGCACACACTAACCACAGAAAACCCAGGGCATACTGCAGAAATGGAAGCTGTATTTCTTACTAGCTGCATGCAGGGTATTCAGCACCATTTCATTTGCTTTACAGTCGATACTATTAAACACTATGAAATGCCATCATTTGAAACTTTCAGTTTGTTAAATGGCTTGGAACAAATGCGTGCGTGGGGAAGACTGCTGGCCACATCGCACGGAGAGGGCACTGCTGTCCTGGTAAGACACAAAAGGGTCACAGTTCAAGTTTGTCATATGACAACCCTGAAGGATCCAGGGAAAAAGACAGCTCTGCAATGCAGCTGCCAGCACGGGTTGAAAAGGAGGTCAATCCAACAGGATGCAGCAGAAGGCCTGAGGCAATGTTATAAATGAAACAAACCCCAAGGGTTTTCAGTAACCCAACAGCAATGTCCTTTATAATTCAAAGAACTTTATTGAGGTGAAAGTATTTTCTCTCTAAATAGTCATTAGACTAGAAGTCTTACCTTTAAAAAGACACCAAACAAAGCTACCTCAATCCTGTTTGCTCCCTTACAAAGGGGAGGCAGACAGCACAAATCCCCCAGCCTGGGCTGGAAGCTGTTGGAGCTGCAAGATGCTCCAAGAGGGCAGAAGCACCAAGCTGCCTGCACCTCAGAGCAAGCTCTGGATTTGTTTATTCTTAAATTCTTACCCACCATGCCCAGTGCAGAGACGTAAAGCGATGTTACGCCAAAACAACACGCTGTCACCCTTTCTTGATCCGTAGGGTCTTTTATACACACCTGAGAGACACCAGTTACTCTCATGGATCTTGGCAGCAGAAGACATGGTGGAGCTCCCGCTGTAGTCCCACGCCTGTTGTACAGCTAGTTTTGTTGAGAGGTTGCTCCCCAAACCTGTTTTAAGGTCTCTGGAGCTCTCTCCAGTGGCTGGATCGAGAAATAAAATACCAACTCTCTGAAAAGGCAGGAGGGAAGCTGATACAGAGGACAAGGCTCTTCCTTTACTCGAGCTACCATCACCACCTTATTCCTAGCCTCCAAGGTTTCTGGAGCACGGGATTTACAAGTCTGGATCACAGGGATACCAAGGTTGCTCAGAGCTATTCCACAGGCCCTGACACAAAGCTCAGAGGAGGCAGCAGACACTTTCCTTCTCACCAAGTTCAGGCCAGGCTCAGCAAGCCATTCCTGGAGGAGACTACACGCTCCCTTCTCAAATTCAATGCCTTCACACCAATCACAAGAAAAATGATAAACTCTTGAGAGGGAGGGCACTTTAAGGGAACAAAGTATTCCGTCAAATGTTTAAAAGTCAAGCCAAGAGTTCTCATTTCAATTTGTGTGGTGTGGCATAAACACATCCCAGTTCCAGAGCCAACATCCCAAGAGAGCAAACTCTCATTGCAGCTCTGCTGCACGTTATAAAAATACCACCAGCAGAAGGAAGCAAAGTCACAAGACAGTTTTCAACAACATCTCCAAACACTGAAAAACTACAGCTGTGTGCAACAGAGACCTTGTCAAAAAGCGGTAAGAGCACCTAGTGAATTGGACCAAAAGCATCCAGGTTCAACACCCAGCTCTGTCACCTGCAGCCGTGCTGAGGTCAGTCCTATCTAGTGTACCCTGTACATTAGTTTCTCAGCTGTTAAACACAGAATGCAGTCCTGTGTTCACAGGAGGAAAAAAGGTTAAAAAGACATTAACACATGGTGGAGTGCTCAAACACTTTCCTGGGTCTTTCCTAGCAGCAAGGGGGAAGGAAGAGACCCTGTCAAAATTATGACAGTTTTGCTTGTACACATAAGTGCCTAATTCAGGCCAGAGAAAAAAAAAACCAAAAGTGAAAGAAGTTGATAGTACTTTGGTAACAAGCCAGCCTACTGATGCTGCCTATCCTAACAAGCCTCAGTCTGACAGAAATACTCCCACATTTACAATACTAAAATACTACATTACTCAATATTTATACGATTCTTTATTTTAAAATAAAGTTGGTTGTGTTAGGTGGTTGGGGTTTTGGGGATTTTTTTTTTTTTTTTTTTTTTTTAAAACCTTATAGACCATTAGTGTAGATCAAGCCAATGTCTGAAAGGCTTAGATCCCCACTTCCAGGCTGCTTCTCGTGCAGCTGAAAACAAACATGTATATTTATGATGTTATCTGCAGCCTACAAAGAAGCCTCCCGAAGCTGTCAGATCTATATAAGAGAGAACGCTATTCAACTATGCATTCTTCCTCAGATTTCATTGCAACATTCCTACAAGTCCTTTCAAATGTAGGCAACAACATGTTTTACATATTGAAACAAATTACTACGAATGTAATGTCAGTTTATTCACTATTATGCCCAAGATTCATGTACGCATGTCACTTCGTATGGCTACATCAGATGCTTAATCTGTACCTGGAGGTAATGAATACTATACAAATATGTCATGTTAGTTAATAGACAATTATTAAGCTGAAATTTTCTGGCTCTTTGCCACATCATTTTAAGCAATGTATTGTCAACTAAATTATAAATCTCTTGACCCTTCACATGTCATCAACATTTGCGCGTTACCAATATGTTCAGCCTAAAGCTACAATGCAATTAGTCATTTAAATTGCAGATATCTTTCACACATAAGAAGAATTAAGTTCATCTCTAGCACACAGAAGGCACGATATGGGCCAATGAACTGTATTTCTGAAGTGTGTGAATGGCAGTCGAGAATATTTTTGCGTATTTACATGGCAAAAAATTCACATCAAGTGTATGGCCTAGACTGACAGCAGCCAGAAAATCCAGCGCTGAAATAGAAACCCTCTAGCTGACAAGGCTGCGCTTAGCTACGTCTGGCAGCAGGTAAGTAAGATGCTGAAGCCATATTTTATAACTACAGTAACGCTTTTAGCCCCCCTCTTCTCCAAAGGTATGACCACACTACAGACTCTTCAACTGTCCGATAGTTTGAATAAGAACCAGAAACTGAAATCAAGAGTCTGCATATGTTAAGCGTATGCAAAGTAGAAAAAAACCAAAACACCATGACTTCTGTATCACTTGAGACCTATGGGCTGGGGGAAGGGGTGGTAGAGACAGAGAAAGAGAGAGAAATCCCTCAAGTATAGAAATAGATTTTGTAGCATGGCTCTGAACACCTACTTAACATGTTAGTAGTCTAGGTCCAATTTTAAAGTGATTGCTTTTAAATTCATTTTCTGCAGCTTTTAAGAAAATATTTTAGCAGATTATCACGTACCAATGCCAAGCACCAGTCAGAAGCCTCTCTGCACCCCATGGATATACAGTGAGCAGCAAACCTATCATCATTTGCTACAGAGCCAACTTCTGTATTTAATTCACATTTAGACACAGTCACATCCTTAACACCAATACTGAAGTTGATGAATTATGCTAGCGTGTCCTCTCATCAGAAGAGCTTATGGCCAAAAAGGTGGTAGTAACTTCTACAGCTACTGCTTATAAGAATGGAAAGCCACACACCCCTGAACTACCACATGTCCCTCCTGCCAATGCCAAAAAACCTGAAAGCAATTTGATTGTCACACAGTGGAAAAAACCAAAACATCTCTCTCTTGATTATTGGGAAGAGTTGGGGTTTTCTTTCATTCTGCAGAAAAGGACTGTTGCCCAGAGGCTTAGTTCTTCCTAAGTCAGCCTAAAGAGCATTTCCAAAGCTTAACCAAGCACCATATACAGAATGTGTTTAATCAACATGCATACCAGCATCCTCAGCTGTAAAGCAAGAAGGGCAAGTTTAAGTTCTGCTAACAATTGTCAGATGTGGCAGAGACCTAGCCCTAGAAGAGAAGACGACAGGCTCTTTTTCTCCACCCACAGTCAAT